CAAAGGGTGCTCCCAAGATATACTGGAAAACAACAAAAAATAAGAATATTCTTCCTGTAAATGGCACAAAAAACCCTTCCTTGTTCCTTATTTAACAACTAAATAATCACACCAATAATTGGTTGCAAAATGTATAGTATGCCTAAAATAAATAAATAAGTACACAGGTAAACTATTATGCAATAATAAATTGTGAGTACATTAAACAAACAACTCAAGATATTCATACCTCCACAGACAACTGCATGTTGAAGTGGATTTGAAGATGACTTTTTAATTTGACCAGTTTGGCTGGCTTAAACATGCTGGTCAAGCAGAAAATTGCTGGTAATTGCTGTAACACTTGTTGCACTGCTGCAGCTCAGGTAATGTGTCAACTCTCTGAATCCTTATATGTCTCTACAAGAGATGAAGCCACACACAATTATCTCAATGATGACAAATGGGATTAAAATAACTAAACTACAAGGTAATATTAACACACAAACAATGCATATAACAGAGGGAATTAAAGCAAACTATTTATTTTTATGAATAATAAACGTCTTCAAAACTTCACCACAAGGCCCATTTACAGCATGCATCCGAAAATTAATCGAAACATCCACAGAAAAAAGTTATATACTATAAAGTATGACAACAAATTCAAGTTTCAATATAAGATAATAAAGCCAAGCACACATTAAGTACTTAGCAGATAAATGCTTAACGTAATATATACAATAATTATTAAACATATGATAGCAAAAACATTACAGACTACTCACTGTGCTCTCTCGTTGTCAATAACTCCGCCCCTCACTTCCGGTTCTGTGGCTGCGGTTCTGAAACTGCTGGTGCTGCGGGTCTGCAGCTGGATATATCTCCACACAGCAGGAAGGAAACACAGGGAACATATATATTTCAATACGGTCTCTCGCAGTTATATCGTTGGGTAATTATACTGTATATAAAATGCGGGCATCAGGGAGCCGCATAATGCACGATCGCTTTTTACTTTCACTTTCGAGCATGTTTCCTTCAGACTGTAGATCTGCTGAATATCCAATGGTCCCATAGCTTCATGCTTTATTTCTCTTCTCTTTACTGCCTAAGCTTTAATCCTGTTCCTATACCAACTGTATGCGTGTGTGTGTGTGTGTATGTGTATGTTAGACTAGTTTAAGTGTTTATGTAGTTAATAAAGTCTTACTTGTATCACACTTGACGTTGTTCATTGTTTGCTCATAACTGGAGTCCCTAATCATGCAGATTTATGCTACAGGCTCTGTGTAGTATTGTACAGTAACCAGGTTTCTTTTCCAGTTTCCCTTAACCAGGAAATTAACGTTCTTAGAATTGACAGACAGTTGACCCTGAGAGGTCAAGTAAATACTTACAGCGGATCTAAATATTTGTAATTAATTATAACTAGTTATGATTAATTATTCATATTTCACCTTTGAGCTGATTCGCTACATCACGGTATGTCATTTCCATGTACAGAACTGTTATTATTCAACTATGCCAAGGTAAATACAGTTTTACATTCTATGGCACCTTTAAAGCTTTTAGTTAGCTTGAAAACAGTAGCTGCTAGAATAGGTTGTCCGGGACAATAAATGTCATCATGCTGACCAGGTAAAGTAATTTACTCTAGTCTGCTGTCATCGCCTCATAATGTTTATAATTGTGCTCTTGCAAACTAATCTGGCTCAAATTGTGGGGGAAAAGACTGAAAGAGTTGTCTGAAGCTTAATGGTTGTGATGTTGAAGGTGGTGTAGTTTGTTTAGCTTTTTACTTCTGGCGATTGTATTTAGGCTTCAAAATTCATAAAAGTTGTGTTGATTTGTGAAGATTATCATGATGAACAATGTGTAAAAATTACTTTTGTTGGTCACAGAGCTTACTTTCTGCAATAACTTACTTTCTGCAATAAACCAAGAAATATCCTTCTTGGTTTTTGTTGAGGGAACCAAAGTGAGGCTAACTTCAGGGTTGGCCTACAAAAATACGTCATCGCTGCAGCCAACCTTACCAAACTACAGATATTTACCAGCTAGCTAGATAGGGTGCTGACATGACGGCATTGAGCGTATAATGTGATGTTGATTCTTTTTTTGGTAACAGGAAGTGGAATGACATGACCTATCTTTGGGACAGGTGGGTTCTGCACGCCAGTGCCACCTGCATTCGGCCTACATGTAATCCCCATTCTGCATGCTTTTGTCACACTTGCATTGTTCGCATTGCTGATTTGTGAGCAGTCAAACACTTAAGTGTTTAGGCAAGAACATCTGCCATGTGTGGCGGCTGCCAACAAGAATCTGAAGTATGTCAGACAGTCGGATTTGCTCTGAAATTCAAGTTAAACTATGACCAGCCAGTATTAGTGCTTGGAATAAACAATGACCGCTTGTGATAAAACTACATAAAACTCTGAAAGAGTAAACAGTTTAATGTGTAATCCTTTAAATAAAATGTTGATCTGTTTAATGGAAAAGAATGTTTAATATTTATATGAGCTCACAATTCTTAACAATCTGCATGGAAAGAGGTCACATTTAAACCATTTATGAAGACAAACTGTTATGACTTCAGACACTGAAACATCCAACAGATTCATAAGTCTCCTGTGACGGCCAGTTAACTGCAGTTCCTCCAGAGCATCCCATTTGTCCCATTCCAAGCATTCTGGAGGGATTCCCTCTTCCGCTGCTTTCCTCTCTAATCCTCCACTCCAGGAGGCATCTATATTTGGAGAAAATTGTGAGAGCCCCAGTCCAGATGTTTTGCCAGGCCGACACCTGCTCTCAATACAAGTCAGCAGGGAGCAACTAGCGCAAATCATGCACGTCCCCAATGCTCTTGCAAACCTCAGTCCCAGCAACTTTTTTTTTTCTAGGAGCGGAGAGGCGCTGCAGTGTCTCGCCTCAAAGGCGCCTGTGGCCTCTTTTACTTATACATTACTGCAAATGAGACCGCTTGGCTGTGATCGTTAGATGAGACCCGTTAGGTGTATCCAACAAGGATTTGTAGCCGTTTCATCTTACTGTTTATTAAGTGAGATCCTGTTCAGAACCCCGGAAGAAAGGCGAGCCTTCTTGTTTCCCTGTTTTTTTCTCAATGGAAGGCATGTATTACATATGAATTGGCTGAATCACACAGTGTATCAAATTATACAAGTTGACATGCTGAAGGCAAAGCCAAATGATGACGAACTTGAACTGTCCTGGCCTCTACAGTGACATATTTGTCTATTGAGGTCTGAAGAGAGAAGCAATTATTGACACTTAGCATTCCTTTGCTGTAACATCTGCTTGTGGCACAAAATTGATTTTCGAGGCTTCATATTTCAATGTTAACCTTTAAATATTTTTAGGATGTGTTGAATTTGTTTTGCAAAGATCGAGTAGCAGTGGTTTATTAATGATTAAAAGTGATGTTTTTTGGAAACGCTGGTCTCTTTTGGGATGTCCTCTCATGAAAAGAATCTCCTATTGGCCTCATTCATGAAACATGAGCAGAATGAATTTCTGTGCAAATTGTTCTTAAAATTATTCTTATGTAATTTGTCTCATTCAATTCAGCGCAACAATTTATATAAGAACGTATGAATGATGTACACAGAATTTGATCTTTTTTAATAAGGGCAAGAAGTTTTTTTAAACCGGTGATGTTTTCTGATGATATAGAATTTGTTAAAATACTGTATTTTTAGTGTAAAAATAACATTTACAATTATGTAGGGCAGCTGCAAGCTATTCTTATGTAGTCTTCTACTCATCCAAAACAAATCAAGCAAATGTTTTGTAAATGTTTTATATATTTGTTATATGATAACAAAACTTAATTTTATACAGAAAGAAACATAAGCATTGATGAATTTTCATTTCATGCCGACTTGAACATTACACCCTGACTGGCTTAAATAGCTTTTAAAGACTGTAGTGGATATCATTCATCAGAAGCCTTAGGTTGAATTCATGGATTAAGACATGTTTATGCAACTTGCATGAGGATTATACAGCATTTCATGGTGCTTGATGACAATTGCTAGTGAGAGCAACAATGTTCTTACATATCTGCAGAGGAACTAAATTTATGGCCTCTAGTTTCAAGTCTATATATGGTCCAGGCTGTAAAATGATTTTGACAAAGCAAACCAAAATTACATTTTGGTACGTCAGGGCAAGCCAGATAAAACCCACAGTTTGGTCAGCACATTTGCAAGCATGCTGTCCTGTCTCATGGCACTTGTGTGTGCTTGCATTACTGTGGCTGTGACAATCCACAGTACTCAAGGGGCTGATAGAGTTACTTCCACATGTCAGTGCTGTTTAACCTAAGGTGTTGTTATTAAGGTAGTTAACTAAAAGCATACTGACAGCTGAGGAGTGAGTGCTGTTTTTACTGAACTGCTTCTCTGCCATGGCAGCTGTTGACCTGAAAGAAAAAGGTTTACTCTAATGGCCATTACGGAACCCCTTATGGCAGTGCAAAGAATACATGGCAGGGCTCAATTTAAAGATTGGGCTAGTAAATGGAACAGACACTTGCCCATCTGGGCTATTGATGCATTTATGCCGTCGGTCTGTGTGAATAGATTCTATTACACTCAACATTATGGAATAGAATGCAAAACTCGAATGCAATAGAAAATGTTTATTTTAATATTCTGTCTTAATGTCACATTGCTCATGCCACATGCATTGTCCAAAGTGGGCGACTAGTTTGTATTGTTTTCTGTGTGACAGTCTGCAAAGCCAACTTTCTATGCATGTCAGTTATCCTTTACAGATTGTTGTAAATGCATGTTCTATCAAAATCTAAATGTTATAAACTATAGAGTTTTCTTCTGACACAATTTAAAGGGGTCATATGATGCGATTTCAATTTTTCCTTTCTCTTTGGAGTGTTACAAGCTCTTGGTGCATAAAGATGAAGATCTGTAAAGTTGCAAAGACTAAAGTCTCAAATCCAAAGAGATATTCTTTATAAAAGTTAAGAGTCATTGTCTGCTCCAAGCTTTTATGTGTTGTTAAAACATAATGCCTTTAGCCTAGTTGTTCTAGTCATTAAAAATCTGTTTTGTACGGAGTGCATATCAATAAGTGCAAATTATTTGCCTTTTACACATTGTGCATCTTTCTAAACATCTGTCAGATTTTGGTGCTTGTTTTGCATTTTAACAGCAGCAACAGTATTTTTGTTTTGCAGAACACACTTGTCACTACTATTTTGACCCAGAGTTTAAGATTAGTGCTATTGCTTTGTCTTAGTTGCATGTAGCAGTTTGTTCAGCAAATATCAGAGTAGTGCATTGCATCATTTCACCAATCACCTGAAACAGAAGCTCAGGATCAAGTTTTTGAGCGCAGGTAGTGGGACGCAGAAAATGCAGCTCCACAGACTAGTGAACGGGGCAGTGTTTTTGTACGTCACTGCTCAGGTGCAGGATTTTCAACAGGCACTGAAGGGTTTACTATGGTCCTACTAATTGCACAGTGAGTCTCCCTGCAGTGAGAGGTAATGCTGAAGAAAAAGGCTTCATGCATCTGAGATGCAGCTCTGGATCTTATCAATCCATAGCTGGGCAGTCTGAGCATCTGCTGCACAGAAGTTGTACACTCGTTTAGTGGTCTTCAGCTGCAAGGACAAAGAAAAAGAGAGAAGAGATTTTAATGTACTTCTATTAAGCAAGGATGCATTTATTTCATCAAAAGTGACAGCAAAAACTAATAATGTTACAATTTCACAAAAATGCTGTTCTTTTTAAATTTCTATTCATGCTGATGGATGCTGATTGGTCATAGTAACAGCACGTTCACCATGTCACTGTGGCTGCACCCAACTATTAACCTTATTTTACATGGCAAGTACCAGCTCTTCAAGCATAAGGATGGCACATACTATATTTAATAATTATAATTAATAATAATTTTTTATCATTTATGCATTTGGCAGACGCTTTTATCCAAAGCGACTTACAGTGCATGCCTCATGTCCAGTTAAAATGTTGTTTTGAGGATTTTTACACTTTAGGGATGCATCAGCATATGAAATTTAGCTTTTGCATTCTTACATACTTTAATAAAATACTTTATAGGTGTTATTGTTCATGCAGAATTTAGGATATATAGTCATGCAGTCACAAAAAGTAATTAATCTTCTCTAGATTTATTTCAAACAACAGCAAAACCCAAAACAAAATATAACCAAAAACAGTAAACAAACCAGAAACATTAGTGGCACCACAAAGTATTGTACATACAGTAACATCATTTTAGGTTCAGTAACAGACATCTTGCCTCATATTTTTTTGTGTTTCTTAAAACTTTACAGATATGCTACCAAAACAAATGGATAAAACCTTAGTGCCTCAAAAAGCCATCAAAATCACATATAACTTCACAGAGAATGAAGAAATATAGTGTTCTTCCCTTCATTTCAAACAAAACGGCTTACTGATAACCATCTCAGGCAGGAAGTGCTTTGCTTGGTCCGTAAATTGTCTGTAATTAAGTATAAATATGAGTGTTTATTTCAAGTTAGACTAAAAGGTTAGAAAAACATATTTGTGTTCCCTGGGAATCGAACCCACAACCTTTTGCGCTGCTAACGCAACGCTCTACCACTGAACCACAGGAACACAATTTATATTGCAGGTACAACAGCCATGTGCTTCTATTGTTAGTATAGTCACGGCTGTGGGAGTACAGCAAATTCCATTTCAAGGGAAGTCTGTTCACTCTGTGGCCATGTTTGCAATGCCTCCAGGCAGCTATTTCAGGCATCCAAGGCCATATCCTATCTACTTGAATGGGAAAATCCTTAAATCTCAAAAATAGCTTGCCATGCTCACATTTAAACAACACATTTCAAACCAGCAACAAAATCTGACGTGGACTGTCCCATAAATGTTGTCTCTTGTGCTCACATTAACAAAAGCTTATAATTCAGGCTGGACCAGTCAATGCACACGTGCAGTCCTAAACAAGTGTCTGGAAACAGCATTTCCATCGCAACCGGAGCAGCAGCAGTGACACAACGACTTCACCGACTGGCTCTTTTCTTTAGAAGGTGGGAGTTATTCTGCCATATTTTGCATTGCACTTTCTCCCATTTAGAGTCATAGGAGTGCACCGTCTTGTTATATCTATACAGTCTCAGCCTCAGACGTCACGCCCACGAACCGCTGGCTGAACATCAGATGCACAAGGCACACAAAATGGGAAAGTATTTAGGAGTTTTGAAGTCATTATCATCTGATTGTTTGAATTCTACAGGATTTTCAGGGAATGCATTCTTTCATGTGTCACATCCTTTAATGGTTCGCCTGGAAACAAAGCTGTTCTGATGCCAAACTCCCTCATGGAGGAAGAAAACTATTTTGTTTACAACAGTGACAATGATCGCATATCAGGATCAACTAAATGCTGAATTTTCAGAAGTACGTGAAGGTCACAGCATAGACTCAGCACAATGCTCTTGAATGAATGATTTATTGGTTGCACGGTGGTGTATTATTGTAGGGACATCGACTTAACATTTGTACGCCCCAAATGTGATGCTGAACAAAGCGAACTATGATTGGTTGCATTATATGTCTGTCAGATGGCCTCTTGAGTGGTTCTTGGCCAGCCAAAGCTGCGATGAAGTCAAAACCTTCTGCCGTCAATCTGAAGGTCTGGCAACGCAAGACTAGGTATATCTAAATGTCTTGGGTAAAGCACAGCCTCAGGCACTGCATTGCTTCATTAACTGGTGGAATACTTACATCAAAGAAAGCCTTTTCACTGATGTGTTTGGGGGCTCCTATAGTTGGTGTGGCAATCAGGACAGATTCCACTTCAGCCAGGTCAATATAGCCACGACAGTTTGTATCCTCATCCGTCTCATAATACCTCAGCTATAAGGTGTGTCAAAATGCATGACAAATAAATGAATAAATTAAGGTAAAGACCAAAATACAAAAATGTAATAAACGACTTACCTGATGTTTTGTTACGTCAAGAACAAACCACCTAGCTTTCCAAGCTTTAAGTAATGCCCCTCGCTTGTACAGGATTCCTTCAAATGATCTGTATAAAAGAAATGATGGCTTGTTGGCTTTCTCTATAAAGCTCGATTAAGTGGTATCAAAAGTGTTGTCTGTCATTGTTACCTATTGTCTTCATTCTTTGGGGTAAACTGATTGTAGAGCGTGGCTGCCCTGCGGTTAACCCCGTTGACTGCAGTGGGACTACTGTCCTCTCCGAGGTCGCTGTCAGGTAGGTGCAACATGGAGTGTCGCTGATAGGCCTGCAGGTTGGAGGTGGGGACCAAACCAGAGATGGACACTGACTGTTTCCGCAGCTATGAGATTAAAAGAGCAAGAGATGAGGTCAGTATATCCGGAGAAGACACTTTGCTACTTGCTCACATAAAGTCCACAAACAAGGATGCTTCTTTGGTGCTTTCTAAGGCCTTTTTACCACTGCATCCCCAAGCCGTACATAAGCAGCTTTGTTTCTAGTGCTTAAAGCTGCGGCTCTTGATAGTGATGTGATATTGGGGTTTCTATTAAGAACCCCCATCAATAAGCGACTTCTGACAGTTGGTCCCTTAGAATCATTACAGATTTGTTCTGAAAATGTAATTTTAGGTCGATATTCAAATATCAATTTACACAGAAGAATCCAAACCCCAAATTGTCTGGATTTAAGGGTCAGTATCAATGCTAAAATGTTAATATGTGCTTGAAATAGATACATGTTGCATACATGTGTGATGTTAAACATGCCTAAAAATGTGTACACGGTGTGCACATTTAATATACAATTTGGGAAACAAAACAGGTAAGTAAGAAATGCCAGTTGAGGCTACATTTGTGAAGCAAAGTGGAACTAAAATAGCTGGACAGAGAAGCAGCACTCACATTGCCCTCCTGTTTGAGGTCTTCTTGGATGCTGTCTCGCACCTTCTCCAGCGTGGTGTGCCAGGGCTCAGACTGCTGCCCTAGTTCTCCCTCCAGCCTCTCAATGTCCTGCAACAACACACATCCATTTTAAGGCTTCCCTTTACTGGTGCCTTTGATCAACCAGGAAATCTTTGGGTTCTTTTGAGTTATGTCTTTTGGGTTGCTTGCGTTATAGTAGCTAGTATAATTCCTGCTATTCACAGATAACATAAAGATGGATAAGTAGATACAGATTGTGCTTTGAGAAGTTCAGAAACACTGAATGGACAAATCCACAAGTAAAATCATGAAAAAGCATGGTGTGAAAAATACAAGGTATGTTTAGAATTTTTTCAGCTGCGTGGTGCAAGCAGAGAAAACTACTACTCACTCTTCTGATAGACGCATCCCTTCGCTCCTTTGATCGGCTGCAATTTTACTGCATCATGTAACATTTTCACTTTGATTGCGGGAGGATAAGGACTTCGTCAGAAACTATTAAAGGACAAAGACATATGGACTCACAGCCAAGGGTTTGGTGATGGCATCAGGCTGGGCACGGCTGACACTGCTGTAACATGGCCAGACGATCCTCCTCTTGGTGGTGGCAATGGTGTCTGACTCTTCTGTGCTCTGTGAGCGCATCGCGAGCATACACCAGTCATAAGAGGGGCCTGTGGACAGCGCCTCTCCAGTGTAGAACTCCCATGTCGCCAGATTGGGGATCGAAATCAGCGGTTTCAACACCGCCTAAAGGGAAAACAAAGGAATCATTATTTGTTGGATTTTTCAGTTCTGACTTTACATAAAGGCACTGTAAGCAATATTAGTCACTGTAGAATTTCTGCCAGAATTAGCCACTGAATTAGTCGCCCTCCCTCTTTCCAAAATCTTACCCTATGAAGGTATTGTTCTACCATTATGCATGTTTACACGCACTCATTTTTGTCAATCGGAACGAACCATCCGATTTCAAATTATGAAAGTTCAGTTTATATGAATGTTACAATCTGATTCACATAGTCATTTACATGTTCATTACAAGCACTCTGAAGGAAACTTTAGCGTATACAGAACCAGAGAAAGCCACTGTGATAATGTCGTCGGCGCTAAAAAAAAAAGCTGACATATCATCAGAAAAGCAAAATATTCAGTCTCCTTTACTGAACAGTCCGGAAAATGTAAATATACATACGCACGTTTATGAGACTGAAAACACATGCAAAACATAAAACATATAGAATTAAGTATTTACATGCTTCATTTTTTTTCTGTTGATTGGATTATTTCAGCTCTAACACACTTACAGAACTTTTAACTTTGAAGAAACATGATGCTTGTTCTTTCCTAACCTTAAAATCTCACAGTCTCAAGATTAGAACGTGTGATCCTCTCCAGTGTTTGGTTGCAAGAAAGGAATGGGGAAGAAAGAAGAAACAGCCCACAGGGCCCTTTGCTCTCACTAAACTTCATAAAACATGTTTTTGTTGGGCTATGGGTGACTCGCTGAACTGATTCACTCATTTTGAAACAGTGTCAGGGGATGACTGCCAGTGAGAAGATACCTATGTTAAAAACAACTTTCACTCAAGCCTGGATTTGAGGATAGGGCACTTTCCCATTCAAGCTTTGTTTTTTTATAGACTGTCACCACCTGATTCACTTGTAACAAGACTGCTTTATAAGGTCAAAGAGGCTGTTTTGCAATTGTGGGGAACTATCCTTCACTGTGAATGCGATCTGGCAAAAGACGTCAGCATGTTTGGGACTGGTAGTCAACATAACCTTTAAGCAGAGTGCTCTAGGGTAAAGGCCATTAGAGCTGTCTGGTACCTCTGCACACACCCAGATAGACTCTTTACCTCCGTCTCTGAGGGACTGTACAGGTAGTTGAAGAAGAGAGGGCTCTTGCGGTGCATTCGGTTGATACACTCCCAGATACAGATTCCTCTCTTGGACTGCTTTTCTCCTTTGTCCTCAAACAATGTGCCTTTAGTGAGGAGACACAAAGAAGAACTTGTGAAATTACACATTACTCAGAGTAATGTGATAAGGTGTGAAACAAAATATCAGAAGCCAAGTCTGATAAGACTAGCAGCACTTGAAAGAAGTGCTTCCAAAGGTCATCAGGGCTGCTACAGGTAGGTAAAACTTTTCTGAGCAAGACTGCACGTGTCTGTTGTAATACTATACAGGCATTCAAAGCCTTGTTTATTTGAAGAACACAGCTGAAAAACATTTGCACAATAATGTAATTATGGCAATACAAAAAGACAAATACTGTTTTGTGGTGGAATGTGTGTTTCTTCTTAAAGAATGACATGAGGAGTTGTGCATACACACCATGCTCCAGGCGCTCATAGTCCGAATCCAGAAGGAAGTTTTTGAAGCGATTGGAGACGTAGTGGTATGCCAGAAACTTCAGATAGTATTGATTAAACTCAAACTCAAGGGGGTACTGGTAATGAACCTGGAATAAGAAAGTCAATGCGTCACACTAGAGAAGCTTTTTGGCCTTATTTCACCGCTACAGCAATTAAACAAATATAATAATGATTAGTAAACGCCCAGGAAATTATTAGTTGAAGGGAATTTAAAAATACAAAAATAACAGCAGCAGGAGGGACATAATGTGGTAATGTACAGCCAACAGGATGTAGACAGAAGAGCATGCAAAGTTCTCACACTCGAGGCCACCTGGACTTCCTGGCAAAAACAACAGCTGCCTCTAAGATGAGACACTTCTATTTTCAGATGCTTTCACTATATTTCTGTGGTCTGTGACATTGCCGGACCTCCGCTGGGTCATTCAAATGCTCTACGCTTTGATTTCATCACATATGCCTAAAAACAATGCATGTCTGTAAACGCATGGGAGTGGTGCGCGTTGTCTCTGGAGGGAGAAAAACTCTTCCTGCCCTTTACTTAATGTAGCACAGATTGAACAGAAACCCCAAAATTGGAGTTTTCCACCGGTTGTGCTAAACTTGCCGATGTTGGGAGGTGATGGCGAAACACTCCAGCCAGAACAATGCTGGCCGCAGGTTAAACACCATCTGTGTACGATCATTTCAAAGGGGGTTGGGGGTAGGTAGATGTGCCGAAGGAGCAGCTCTGTCTAAATTACTTGCCCACCATGGGGATTGCAAAAGGAAAGCTAGAGCATGCATTCTGACAGCTGAGTCTTTCTCGTCCTCCTCCTTCTGGCTGGACGCTGCAGGAATGCTGTGAGCTCATGGACGAAGCACGGTGGGAACAAGAGAAGGGTGGTGTGAGAGACAGAGATCGGGAGTTATGAAGTGATTCTGGGCAGTGTGTGAAAAAGAGAGATGGAGAAATTGGTTATTTGTTATTTAGCAGACACTTATCCAAAATTAACATGGACAGTCCCACTTGGTGCAGCCTGGGGTTAAGGTGTCTTGCTCAAATGCAAAATGGTCATGGGGTTCATGAGTCATTCCATCTGTGGTTTGAACCTACAGCCTTTGGGTTTCCAGCCCAGATCTTTAACCACTACGATTCCACCACCGCAGCTAATGGAAAACATCAGAAGATTGCTGGTTCAAGAAGCAAGATCATTATCTCCTTCAGCAAGGCAAGTAACCCCAGGTTACTTTGGATAAAGGTGTCTGTTACACGACTGCTTATATAGTCAACTTGCCTGATGGACACAGTCAAGAAACTGGAGGAAGATGGGAGTGAAGCCGCTGCCCTGGCTGCTGGGGGTCAGGTTGCCACGTTGGCTGAATTTGTGGCCAAAAGACAGCCACTCTTTCTCCAAAAGCACCTGAAAGCCCTCTAAGGTCCTGTAGAATGGATCACTGAGCACCTGCACAAGGGAAACCACCTACAGAAACAACAGAGAGGAAGAGAGGTATGTAATGAGTTACTAACACGGGCCGATACTTGAGAAGTACCCAGTATAAGTAAATGCTGGCCCTATTGGATTTAACCCTTGCTGACCCAATACGTGTATCAGTGACTGTCACAACTCACACATCCCAACAGCTTTTACCTGACAAAAACATTTACCATCAGAACACTGCCTGGGAGTTTTCTCCACGTGGCAACCTCTTAACTGCAATATTCTGTACATTAAGCATTAAGTTTGTCACAATTACTTAAGGTCTGCATGAAAATAGTAATTGACCCTATTTACTTACTACTAGTTCTGTCAACCGATTAATCGTGATTAATCGCATCCAAAATAAAAGTTTTTGTTTACATAATATATGTGTTTGTGCTGTGTATATTTATTATGTATTTATAAATACAAACGCATGTAAACATTTCTAAAATATATGCTGTATGTGAGTGTATCTATATATACATAATAAATATACACAGTACACCCGCATATATTATGTTAACAAAAACTTTTATTTTGGATGCGATTAATCGTGATTAATTGTTTGACAGCACTACTTACTACATGAATAATCTTGTGGTTAACAATTAATCCACAGGAAAAAATTTTTTTTTTCACACTCATTAGCCAAAACCTGAAAATTTACTTTCACTCTGTAATGGCATTACTTCTCTGAAGACCACTGTTTGACAGTTTGGGCAGAACATCCTTAAAGGGATAATTCACTCAAAAATGAAAATTCTGCCATGAATAACTCACCCTCATGTCGATCCAAACCTGTAAAACCTTTGTTCATCTTTGGAACACAAATGAAGATATTTTTGATGAAATCCGAGCGCTTTCTGACCCTGCATAGACAGCAACACAATTACCACGTTGAAGGCCCAGAAAGGTAGCAAGGACATCAATAAAATAGTCCATGTTCAACCGTAATTTTATGAAGCTACAAGAATACTTTTTGTGTGCAAAGAAAACAAAAATAACGACTTCAATTTCTTCTCTTCCATGTCAGTCTTCGACGTGCGTTCACGAGAGTAACACGATGCATGCGTGTGGTGCTGCTGATGCAGGAGCCGGCGTTCTGACGCAGAACCCAGAAGCGCTGTGCCTTGTTTATGTAAACATGTCTGAAGATTTCGACTGAGAGGATGACTTGCAATTTTTTGCCCAGCCCTACTTATTTGGACCAGAATATAGAGACGATGAACTAAGAGAGATGGCCATTCTATGCCAGAACAGCGGCTCCTGCTTCAGCCGCACCACAAGCATGCGTCATGGGTACTCTTATGAACGCGCATCGAAGACCAACACGGAAGAGAAGAAATAGTTGAATTAAGTCGTTATTTTATTTTATTTTTTTGCAGACAAAATGTTTTCTCATAGCTTCATTAAATTACGGTTGAAACACTCATGTCACATGGACTATTTTTACATGTCCTTACTACCTTAACATGTCCTTATCGTGGTAGTACCCTTGCTGTCTGCAGGGTCAGAAAGCTCTCAGATTTCATCAAAAACTGAGGAGGTTCTTTAAAATCAAGCCCCGTCTATTATTCAGTTTTCCGTTTTACTCTGAAAAACATCAAAATGCTGAAGTAAAAATCTGTTGCAGTTTCCAGTAATAAACTTCCAGTTTATGTGGAACAAAATTATTTATAATCAAAAATGCATTGTGAATACCACTTCAAAAATATGTCTGCCAGAGAATAAAATGTAAATGTTACATGTAAAGCTTTGCTATAACCAAAGGCAGAATTTCTACAGAGCCTGTTTCAATGAGTTATAGAAATATAATTATTGTAAGCATTATTGAAGCAATTTCACAAAGCAGTAAGCAATATCACAACACCTTCCAAGACTGAAAGCATGGTCATGTGACAACAATGTGATTCTGTTCTCTCCTACAAAGCCAGACATATGGAGCCTATTTAGATGAGTACATCAGATCAGGCCTACAGAGAGAATGGCAAAATGGTCAAGAAGCAGGAATAGACTTGTTCAGACACGTGCATGATTCTGACCACAGCTACATTTAACAACCCCAGCTGACACTCAGAGAACACAATTCTGTTTCTAATGACAGTTAACTGATCAAGTCGGCATGGAAAATCTGAGCTGTGACCGCAAAAATGTCTCTGCTGCAACAGCATAACAAAATTAAAGTTTCAATTCAAAATAGACATTTAAAAAAAAAACTTTAATGTGTAAAGATGACTGTTAGGCATTTGTAGGTTGACATTCCCATTACTGTTTTTATTGACTGACACGTGAACTTTTGGTCCAACCAATGGCCGAAGTTTGGGGTGAAACTATCTGCTATAAGCTGTTTTTAAGGAAACTGGATATCATTATTTTTTGAACAATGAAATATGATTGAAGGTGCACTGGGAATCCTGTTTCAAAATTGTGTTGGCAACTCCATGTATTGCCTTAACAAGGTGAATAATATTTAAATCCGATAATAGGCAAAGACAAGGCTCTAAAACAAGCATCTAATAAGCAGAAGGAATAGGACTGTTAAATTGTCACATGCTATAGCACACGTGTGTGAGACGATGCTCACCTGAGTGGTAATGTCCCAGCCATCCTCAAGACTAACTAGTACAGATGATCCACTGTCCAGCAACTCAACCACAACCAGAGCCAGCTGCAGCAGCTTGTGTAGCTGTTGAACACACAGATACAAAGTACAAAACAACACATTCAATGTTTAGCAATTCCTGTGCATTTATTGTAACACTGCTGTGCACACTGCTGACTAATGCCGAGTTCACACTGCACGATTTTCAAACTCGTCGGATCGCCGTTGTTTTCACACTGCGTGACTATCTGGGGTAGCATTCAGTTGTTGCTGTGTTCACATTGCACGATGGATCGGCGACCGGGGGTTTCACATTGCATGACTTCACAATAGGAAGAATCGCCAACAGCTCTTGTGAGTGCATGGGTTTTAGAGTGGTAAGCAACTTTGTTTTGCTTGAATTGTGTCATGGAATTTTCCCATCTTTGTGTTGTATAGTTTCCCATTGGTGACTAGTTTTAAGGAAAGACTTTTCAACAGGGTCAGAGTCACACAGGCCAACCTGTTTCTGGTTTTCTTAAGATATAGGCCACTGTGAGTCACAATAAGGGGAAGGTGCAGGGGTAGTTTTAATACTAAGGGAATGTGTGTTCAGAGGTCATGCTAACCTGTAGCATCCATTCGCTCTCCTCCAGAGCCTTAAGGAACGAGTCCTCTGTGTCTGAGGACATGGAACTGGGTGCACACGCTCTTAGAAGCTTCTTGAAAGAGCCCTTCACCTGTTTTGTGTCTGCAAACTCTACCGGCACCAGTTCACAGTTCAGTGCTGAGTCCAGTCTTAAGCCCTGCCATGGAAAAGCATTTGGTACAAACTTTTAATTTTGTTTTGTTTCATTTCTGGAAATAACAGAGCATAGAAACAAACATTTGGATTATGCCTTCTGGGTAGAACGTTGTCTAGAAGTTTTGCTTGCTTCCAGACCAGAGTCACACATTTGTATTTCAATAAGGTTTTAACAGATTGTATCCAACACTATAATTTTGAGCAGACTAACTATTTTACTAATGTGGATGAAATTAAATTTCCACTTCACAGACAACAACAAAAATTCAAAACAGACAGTTAATGTACTGAGTAGGACCAGCCAAATAACTTAGAGTTTACTTAACTGTCAACCACAGGGCTGATTTATTCCAACTATTAATTTTCATTTTTTTTTTTACATTGAATGTTAAAGAAACACATTATCTAAAAGGTAAAAAGTAACACAAAGTTCCTTCAGGCATCCAAATGTAATATAATTTCAGCAAAAACAGACAAATTGTGTCAATAAATCAGAGCTTTTATAAATGGCTATTAAGAGGTCCTTATCTAGTCATGAATTTATTATGCGCTGGGGAGAACGTATGATATGACCTGGTACACTTCAACCCAAAAATTAAAAAAGGCTATTTAGAAATGAACACTTCTTCCCCATAAAAGGTTCATCACACAAGGTCAGCATCAAATCCTTAGCTTCTTCTCTCGAAGAACTCATAGTAAGTGTAACATCTTTACCCTGAGATGAGACTTTTCGCCAAAGATGTAGAGAGCAGCTTGGTGCTTGAGGAGTTGGGCCTGGAGGTTCTCAATGCCTGTAGGGGGCGCCAGATCCTTGCCAGCTAACCGCGTGCCCACGTTGGCAGCAGCGGGATGCTGGATGAATCTGCTGCTAGAGCGCAGACTAGCCCACACACCTTTCAGAGAGAGGGGATACAACAGATGTGTACGAACAGGTTAGGCAGGATTACAAAAATTGCTTTGTAAAAACAAACCATCGTAACTAATATCAAGGACGGACAAACTCAGCAGTGCTAAATGTGCTAAAAGGTGCTTAGAGTACTATACACTTATTAGTAGCTTAAAATCATAATCAAATTAGCCACATAAAAAAAAACATGTAAGGGGTAGGGAATGTGAAGAACTTTAAATGATGGTTGTTTATATATATATATATATATATTAGGGATGCACCGGTACTGGTATCGGTATCGGGCCCGATACTGAGCTTCTGTACTCGTACTCGTTAAAATGCCCCGATACCAAACGCCACATACTCTTTTGGTTTCTGTACCCAATATTTTAAAAATTTACAAATGCAATAAAAATATTGGTATCGGTACTCGGTATCGGCAAGTACCAAAAATAAAAGTATCGTATCGGGCGAGTACTGGAAAAAGTGGTATCGGTGCATCCCTAATATATATATATTCCATTTGAATATATTTTAAAATGAAATGTATTTCTATGATCAAAGCTGAATTTTCAGCATCATTAATCCAGCCGTCACATGATCCTTCAGAAATAATTCTAATATGATTTTGGTGCTCAATTATTAATAATAGTTAATATTGGTTCTTACTATTATCAATGATGAATATAGTTTTTGCTGCTTCATATTTTTGTGGAAACTGTGATACATTAATCCCTTGTTGAATGTAAGTATTAATTTCCATACATATTATATTGCTTTCTCCAAACCTTTCAATGGAAGTGTATCATGGTTTCCACAAAAATATTAAGCAGCAAAACTGTTTTCAACATTGAAATTATTCTTGAGCACCAAATCAGCATATTAGAATAATTTCTGAAGGATCACGTGACACTGAAGACTGGAGTAGTGATGCTTTTTTATCACAGGAATAAATTACATTTTAAAATATATTAAAATAGAAAAACATTATTTTAAATCGTAATAATATTTCACAATATCACTGTTTTTTCCTGTATTTTGATCAAATAAATGCAGGAAATCTCATTTATTCCATGTAATATATATTGGCCAATACCCAAACTAATAATCTCAATAGTATGCAACATACTACCATGTTTCTTTGGAATCACATTCTCATATAGTTCACTGAGCACTTTCCTAATACTTGTCCTGGAGAGTTGAATTTTGACTGACTGAGACTACATGAATGTTAGTTCACTTAGTAAACGGGATCAATGCTGTGATGATTCAGTGCTCTGTCATCAGCTACTACAACACACCACTGAACCTCAAAACTGCAGTCACTACAGACCTACCAGTACAAAATACTACAGAAGTGCTCTTGCCACAGTAAAGTTTACTTCAGGAAACCAGAAAAGTCAGTGGTAACCTCATTGTAGTATGACTTTCAGACACTACAGAGGCATGGACAGAGGTCAAAGAGAGGCTGAGAACATGGATTAAGTCAAGTATGGATTAGGTTAGTGAGAATGAGTAAAACAGAAACTATACCTTGATTGTGAATTCTTCCCTTAGCTGGAGCTTTTTGGTTTGAGTGAGTGAATAGTTTATCTCTGTACCCAAGTACTGGTAGATTAAAGGTGCAGGAGTTGGTGGTGGCACAGAGAACCAGGAAATAAAAACAGAAAACAAAATTCACACACATGCAACAATCACCCCCTCTGAAGACAGACAGGACAGTCATTAGCAGCTCAGCTTACCGAGACAGACGAGAGAGAAATGCTGCAGGCCTGTATAACATTAGGATTTTAAGTTTAGAGGTCAACTTGATTTATCGCTTTTGCCAAATAATCAGTATCAATAATGGCTTTTGAAACTCTTTGATATTAGGAAAAAATGTCGGTTTCAATATTGATTTCATTTATATAATTATTTAGATTTCAATAAATAGTAATAATTATTTAAATAAATAAATAATTTATGTATTGCGTTCTGCTAACTCTGACTGAAAAGTGAAAAATGTTTGTTTTAATATAATACCAGATTACTGGACGTTTATGGTGAGCAAATGCTGACTGCAGATATTATTGGCCACAATAATTATGTACAATATCATCTTTTTAATAGATATTATTGTGATTTTTGGTTGCATAATAGACTGCACACAGGATTTCAAATACTGTATATTGAACTCCTGTAGCTTTGATGACTTACATGCTTTTAAAAGCTATCTGCGATTAATTAGGAAGTCAGTCCCCCCCCCCTGAATTTTACCTGAATTTTTTTAGACGTGACGTGAAGTATGCAAAGATGGAGCATCAATGAAGAACAAAAAAAAGGTTTACATGAATGACAGGAACATTACGTTAATGAGATGAGTATATAAATAAGAGGAGATCAAAGAATACAGAAAAATATAAGTATACATGGAAAACTAGATTTGTATGTTTTGTGATGAAAATGTGAGTGGTGCTTGACTTAAACAATGGTAACGTGTTGTGGGTGGTGGCCAGGGCATCACTATGTGGTTCACAGGGTTTTCTTGGTGGTCCAAGTCAATAGATCTCACTGACAAGTCTCTAAACTGAAGCAGCAAGATTGAGATATGATTCATGTAGCACAAGATACATACAAGGTGTGGAATGATTCAAACGAGTTAAAGGGGTCATATGATGTTGCTAAAAAGAACATTATTTTGCGTATTTGGTGTAATGAAAAGTGTTTATGCGTTTTAAGGTTCAAACAACACATTATTTTACTGTACATTATTGTTTCTCTTCTATGCCCCGCCTTTCTGAAACACGTTTTTTTTACAAAGCTCATCGGTCTGAAAAGCAAGGTGTGCTGTGATTGGCCAGCTATCCAGTGCGTTGTGATTGGC